AAGATCCCAAGAGGAGAATGGAGGAGAAGGGATTGCGGCGTGGCCATCCCCCCTGGCGGGTGATTTCTTGCTTTCTATCTCTCTGTCTCTCTCTGTCTGTCTGGCGAGTGCACGTGCCCTATAGCGAAAACCTCTCCCAAAAAAAAGAAAAAAAGAAAAGAAAGAAACCAACCACACACACTTTAAAAAACCAACCACACTTTAAAAAATGACTTACACCAAAAAAGCCCTGGGCATTGGGATTGGGTGTGTGTTTGGGAGACCCCTCCAAGCTCACCCTAACCTTGAGGGAGCATGGTCTATGTGTTTCCTTTCTCCAGATCCTTGGCTCCCGGACTTTTGACATTTGTGTGAGGGACATGATCCCAGCAGATGTCCCCGAGCACTTTCGGGGCAGGGTAAGCATCTGGGCCATGGTGACAAGCGTGGATGGAAACCAACAGGTGGCATTTGATGACTCCACCCCGGTCCAGAGGCAGCTGGTGGACATCCGGTACTCCAAGGACACACGGAAGCAGTTCAAGCCAGGACTGGCCTATGTAGGGAAGGTAATTCTTTTTATTTTTTTCTGGAAAGATTTTTGCTATAGAGTGCATGCACTCACTGTAGAGACAGAGATAGAGAGACAGAAACTGAGAAGTCACCCCCTAGGAGGTTGTCCATGCCACAGTGCCTTCTCCTCCATTCTCCTCTTGGGGTTTTGGGCATGCATGCACGTGTACCCCATGTGAGTTTCAAGCCCCTGGGTCCAAGACTTGAACCGCAGTTGGTGGTGTGGGAGTCCGACGACATAACGATTACTCCATCTATTGGTCCCCATGGGGAAGATAATTCTAAGCGTTATAGCTGAAAGTTTTACAGCTGGGCCTATGATTTGCATTAATCTGTATATATGGCGTGAGGTAGGGATCCCACCTCACTGTTTTGCATGTAGCTATCCAGCAGTTCTGATTGAAGACACTCTTTTTTCCCCTCATTGAATGGGCCTGGTACTCTTCCTGGTGGAAGATCGGTTGGTCTCACATGTATGGATTTTTTTTTTTTTTTTACCTTTGGGTCTATTCCGTAGTTCTCCATGTTCATCTGTATGACAGTTTTTTCTTTTTAAGGATTTTTTTTTTCCTTGTAGGGCATGTGCATTCGCCAGAGAGAGATGGAAAGTGAGAAGATGTCACCCACCTGGGCAGATAATCATACCACAATCTCTCCTCCTCCATTCTCTTCTCAAGATTTTGGGGCACACATGCACTCGTGCCTGGCATTTCAAGCCACCGGGTCCAGGACTCGAACTGTACACTCGGATATATGAGATCTAGCCACCATAACCACCACACCTCCTGGCTGATTCCCAAATAAGATTTTTTATTTCTTCCATGATAGATGGGAGGAACACTCCCAACAAGGTTCTCACCCTGGGAACCCACCCTCAGCCTAAGCCAGCCTAGGTCCCATGCTTGGCATGCACAGGGAGACCTCCAGACGTGAATCTGGGACCTTCCCACGTGGCCTCAACATCACAGAGCCCTACCGTACCTCTGTGGCTGGCCTAGTCCTCCTTCCTGTTCTTTTTTGGGGTTGTTTTAGCTATTTGGGGCCCTTGAAAATCCTCGTGTGTGTTAGAAAATTTGTCCTTTTCTGCAAAGGAGCCTGCCGGGATTCCAGTGTGCACCATGTTGAGTCCGTAGATCCTTCTGAGGGGTGTTGCTACCTTGACTGTGTTGAGTCTCTGATCACCCCTTCCAGGTGGAAGTGTCCTACCCGGATGGCAGCCCAGCCGAGGGGGTGACGGTCCAGATTAAGGCAGAGCTGACACCCAAGGACAACGTCTATACCAGCGAATCCGTGTCCCGTGGTGGGCTGGTGGAGTTTGAAATCCCCTCCATCCCCACGTCGGCTCAGCACGTGTGGCTGGAGGTGGGTGAGTCCCTTGGTCCCTTGTCATTCAGCCAGTGGGCATGGACTTGGCGACCCCACCAGGATGAGCTCAGGTGCAGGAGCCCCTGAGGGAGTTCCCAATCTGATGGGGGTGGCGGGCAGTGGGATGGATAATCCGGCCACCCCGGGGGAGCATGGGAAGACAAGGAGACATGGAAGTACCTGGGCCATTCATATCATAGGGACTTTTCCAGGGGGATCTTTCCCAGTGGACTCCCGACTATGGTGGGGGTCAGCCAGGCTGCTTCTGGGAGGGTGGAACAGCATGTGTGGTGGCCCAGAGGCGGCCTGTGATCCTGCTGTGATCCAGGCTTGCCAGCGCTCAGACAGGTTGACCATTTCAGAAAGAACTGGGAGAAGGAGCTGGTGGGGATATACCACCCCACACCTCTCAGGGGCACTTGGAGTTTACCAGGATGGCACAGTATCAGGGACACAGAGGAATCTGATTTGTGTGTGCTGTTATTTATTTTTATTTATTTATATTTTCACTTTGTAAATTTTTTTGAAAATTTTTTTTTTTTGCTATAGGGCATGTGTGCTCACTGGAAGGACAGAGAGGGACAGAGAGACAGAAAGCAAGAAATCACCCACCCAGCCCGGGGAGGATGGCCATGCCGCAATCCCTTCTCCTCCATTCTCCTCTTGGGATTTAGTAATCCCTGTGGCCTCTCCCTCGTGTCAGCCACACTCTTTTATTAATTTTTTTTTATTATTATTTTTTACTTTTTTTTTGTGAAAAGTTTTTTGCTATAGGGCGTGTGCGCTCGCCACAAAGACAGAGAGACAGAAAGCAAGAAATCACCCCCCAGGGGGGATGGCCACGCCACAATCCCTTCTCCTCTTTTCTCCTCTCGGGATCTTGGGCACACACACACACGCGCCTGGTGTGAGTTTAAGCCACCGGGTCCGGGACTCGAACCGTGGTCAATGACATGGGAGTCCAGCAACATAGCCATGACGCTAACTGCTGGTCCCAATTATTGTTATTTTTAAAAAATAATTGTTTTAATTTTATTTATTCATTCATTTTATTTTCATTTGACCAGAAAGAGAAAGAGAGAGAGGGAAAGTAAGAAAGCAAGCCGCCAGGTCCGGGACTAGAACCATGGTCGGCCATGTGGGAGTGTCCAGCACCTAACCACCATGTCACCTGCTGGTTCCCAAGCCACACTCTTTTTTTTTTGGAGAGGTTTTTTCGCTATAGGGCGCGTGCGCTCGCCAGACAGACAGAGAGAGAGACATAGAGACAGAAAGCGAGAAATCACCCCCCAGGGGGGATGGTCACGCCGCAATCCCTTCTCCTCCATTCTCCTCTCGGGATCTTGGGCACGTACGCACATGCGCCCGGTGTGAGTTTTAAGCCACCGGGTCCGGGACGCGAACCGCGGTCGACTACGTGGGAGTCCAGTGACATAGCCATTACGCTAACTGCTGGTTCCCCCAAGCCACACTCTTTTATAACAGGAGGAAGAGACCAGCTTAAATCAGCTAAGGAACAAAAGCAGCCTAACTTCTCAGACCTGGGGTGTATAGATCCACATGTTCTGGGTAGACCTGTGTCCAGAGCCCATGGCTGGTCCTTCTCTGTGTTTATTTCCCAGCTGGGTTATTCCATGCAAGAAGCCACTAGGACTTCTGTTAAGTCTAAGGGGAGAGGGAGAAGGTTTCTTGATATGCTTAAAAAAAAGAATCATTTAGGGGCCAGCAAGTGGCATGGTGGTTAAAGGCGCTAGACTCCCACATGGCCAACCACGGTTCAAGTCTCGGACCTGGTGGCTTGCTTTCTCACTTCCTCTCTCTCTCTTTCTGTCTCTCTCTGATCAAACTGAAAAATAATAATAATATAATAATAAATAAAGTTAAATAAAATAATTCTTTAAAAAAAGAATTATAAAAAAAGAGAATCATTTTAGTCCATTTTATTTATCATCATCATTATTATTATTATTTAATTTGACCAAAGAAAGAGGGCGTGGGAAAGTGAGAAAGCAAACCACCAGGTCTGGGACTCGAACCACAGTCAGCCAGGTGGAAGTACAGTGCTTTAACCACTATGCCACTCACCACCCCTCTGATATGCTTTTGGATAGAGTTGCCTCTCCGTGGTCAGATGGGTCACATGCCCCTGCCCAAGCTGATGCCCAACACCCTGTGGCAAATCTCAAGACACTTGCTCCTTCCGATCCCAGTCCCTGAGGACTGGGGAGGAGGATCCCCAATGAGGGGTCCCCAACGAGAGAGTCTTATTTCTGGGCAGGGCAGGCAAGATACGTTCCCCTAACCCCCTCCCCAGGTGGGGTACCCAGGTCTTGACCAGGCATCCTGTTTTCTTCAGACCAAAGTGACGGCGTTGAATGGGAAACCCGTGGGGGCCCAGTACCTGCCCAGCTACCTCTCCCTGGGCAGCTGGTATTCCTCCAGCCAGTGCTATCTGCAACTGCAGCCACCCTCCCGCCCCCTGCAGGTAAGGCCTTCAGGTGCTGCCCCTGATGCGTGGGATGAGCCCGGGGAGCAGCGGGGATGAGCCTCCCAGGACCCTGATCCCGAGGCTGATTCAGGGCGCTTCATCTCTCCATCAAGGGCGTATTCTGCAGAGCGAATCCACCACCATGTATGTGTGATGGGCATTTAAGCTTTGGCCCAGGACTTCCTGTGACAAACACCACTTAGATCCCAGGGGGCTGTTATTCCCAGCTCTTGAGGACACACCTAAGTGCAAGAATAAGGACTTAGCGCTGGGTCGCATATTAGTTTTTCCTGAGTTCCTTATGTTGCAATCCTGGTGAGATAAAGGGTGTGTGTGTGTGTGTGTGTGTGTGTGCGTGTGCATATATGGATGTGTTTTTTTTTAATTTTTTGAAGAATTATTATTTTTTTCTTTTTTTTGGAGAGGTTTGTGCTATAGGGCGCGTGCGCTTCCCAGCAAGACAGAGAGATAGAAAGTGAGAAATCACCCCCCAGGGGGGATGGCCACGCCACAATCCCTTCTCCTCCATTCTCCTCTTGGGATCTTGGGCATGCGCGCACATGGGCTTTGCGTGAGTTTAAGCTACCGGGTCTGGGACTCGAACCGCAGTCCACTACATGGGAGTCCAGTGACATAGCTATTACACCAACTGCTGGTCCTGAAGAATTATTTCATTTAACTTTATTTGTATTTATTATCATTTGACCAGAGAGGGACAGTGTGAGAGAGAGAAAGTGAGAATGCAAACCACCAGGTCTGGGACTCGAACCACAGTTGGCCAGGTGGGAGTCCAGCGCCCTTAACCACCACGCCACCTGCTGGTCTCTGTGTGGGTATGTTTTTAAATGAATAGACTTAACCTTTTTAGGCCAGCCCCATAGCCTAGTGTTAAGCACTAGGCAGCAAGATTCCAGATGGCCAACTACTGTGATTTGAATCCTAGTCCCAGAAGCTTGAGAAAGACGCTGGGTGCATCAGTGTGTGTACCCCAGATCCTGACCGAATGGAGAAATGGAAGAGAAGGGATTGCATGGCGTGCCCGCCTGCCACTGGGGAGTGCTTTCTGTCTTTCACTCACTCTTTGTCTCTCTGTCTCTCTCTGACGTCACGTGTCCTTTGGCAATGAAAAAAGGGACTTACGGGGCCAGCTTGCAGCATGATGGTTTAGGCACTGGACGCCCACATGGCTGATCACAGTTTGAGTCCCAGACCTGGTGGCTTGCTTTCTCACTTTCTCTTTCTCTCTTTCTAGTCAAATTTAAAAATAAAATAAAATAAATAATGGTGATGAATAAAATAAAATTAAATAATTATTAAAAAAAAAAAACTGAGACCAGCAGTTAGCGTAATGGCTATGTCACTGGACTCCCTTGTAGTTGACTGCAGTTCGAGTCCCGGACCCAGTGGCTTAAACTCACGCCGGGTGTGTGTGCGTGCATGCCCAAGATCCCGAGAGGAGAATGGAGGAGAAGGGATTGCGGCGTGACCATCGCCCCTGGGGGGGGATTTCTCGCTCTCTGTCTCTCTGTCTCTCTCTGTCTTTCTGGTGAGCACACATACCCTATAGCAAAAATATCTCCAAAAAAAAAAAAAAACTTAACTGGGGCCAGCAGGGGGCACAGTGCTTAAGGCACTGGACTCCTCCCACATAGCCAAACACAGTTCTAATCCCAGACCTGGTAGCTTACTTTTTCACTTTTCCTCTCTCTTGCTCTCTGTCTCTCTTTGGCGAGCATGGGTACCATATTGAAAAATTTAAATAATAATAAACAATGCTAAATACATTTTTAAAAATTATTTAACTCTTGGGACCAGCAGATAGTATAGTAGTTACATCACTAGACTCCTATATGGTCAACTGTGGTTCGAGTCCCGGACCTGGTGGCTTGAAACTCATGCCAGGTACTTGTGCATGCATGCCCAAGATCCCAGGAGGAGAGTAGAGGATAAGGAATTGCAGTGTGGCCCTCCTCCCTGGGCAGTGATTTCTCACTTTTCCTCTCACTGTGTCTTTCTCTCTCCTCAGAATGAACGCACATGCCCTAAAGCAAAAACTTCTACAAAAATAAACAAATAAATAAATAATTTAATTTTTAAAATTTTTTGTATTTATTTATTTGTTTTTTGCCATAGAGCGTAAGTGCTCACCAGAGAGAGATGGAGAACCCACCCTCCACTATCCATTTTCTTCTTACACAGTCTCTGGCATCTGTATTTGTCCTCTCTACTATTATATCTTTTTTTAAAGAATTATTTAATTTTATTTATTCATTTAATTTTAATTTTTTTTTTTTTGGAGAGATTTTCACTGTAGGGCGCATGTGCTCGCCAGACAGACAGAGAGAGACATAGAGACAGAAAGCGAGAAATCACCCCCCAGGGGGGATGGTCACGCCGCAATCCCTTCTCCTCCATTCTCCTCTCGGGATCTTGGGCACGCACGCACACGCGCCCGGCGTGAGTTTTAAGCCACCGGGTCCGGGACACGAACCGCGGTCGACTACGTGGGAGTCCAGCGACATAGCCATTACGCTAACTGCTGGTTCCCCATTTTATTTTAATTTGATCAGAGAGAGGTACAGAGAGAGAGAGGGAAAGTGAGAAATCAAGCCTCCAGGTCCAGGACTTGAACCATGGTCAGCCATGTGGGAGTGTCCAGCGCCTTAACCATCATGTCACCTGCTGGTCCCCTCTACTATGATATCTTTGGCTCTTTCCATTTCTGCTGAAGAGTACAGACATTCAGTATATATTGAGTGGGGATATACAGTGTTTGTCTTTCATAATGTGACTTACTTTGCTTTGCATTAAACCTTCTAATTCCTTTACTTTGAATCAAATGTTAGGGTCTCAATGTTCCTTACTGCTGAGTAGTACTCCATTGTATATGTGGTACAATTTTCTTTCTTTTTTTAAAATGATTTGTTTAACTTTATTCATTCATTCATTCATTTTTAATTTGACTAGAGAGATACACAGAGAGAAAAAGAGAAGGTGAGAGAGCAAGCCACCAGGTCCAGGAATCGAACCATGGTCAGCCATGTGGGAGCACCCAGCGCCTTAACCACCATGCCATCTGCTGGTCCCGATACAATTTTCTAATCCATTCATTCATTTTTGGGCATTTAGGTTGATTCCATGTTTTAGCCATTGTGAATAATGCTGCAGTAAACATGGGTGTGCAAGTGTGTTTGTCTGACTGTTTTCGTATTCTTGGGGTAAATGCTCAGGAGTGGTGTTGTGGGGTCACGTGGTAGTTCTATTTGTAGGTTCTTCAAGAATCTCCATATCGTCTTCCACAGAAAACGAATTTATATACTAATTTACATTCCCATCAACTATATAAGAGGGCTCCCTTTTCACTGCAGCCTCACCAGCATTTCTTCTTCTTTATTTTTTTTAATCATAACTATTCTTTTTTTTTTTTTTTGAGAGGTTTTTTTTTTTTTTTTTCTATAGGGCACGTGCGCTCGCCAGACAGACAGAGAGAGACAGAGAGACAGAAAGCGAGAAATCACCCCCCAGGGGGGATGACCACGCTGCAATCCCTTCTCCTCCATTCTCCTCTCGGGATCTTGGGCACGCACGCACACGCGACCGGCGTGAGTTTTAGCCACCGGGTCGGGGACTCGAACCACGGTCGACTACATGGGAGTCCAGCGACATAGCCATGACGCTAACTGCTGGTCCCAATCATCACTATTCTGACTGAGGTTGAGTGGTGTTTCGTTCTGTGGTTTTCTGTTTGTTTTGTTTCTTTAAGGTTTTGCTATAGGGTATGTGCACTCTCCAGAGAGAGAGAGAGAGAATGTGAGAAAGCCTCCCATTCAGGGGGAATGGCCATACTCTGCAGTTCTTTCTTCTCTGTTCTGCTTTTGGGATTTGGGGCATGGATGCACACATGCCTGGTGTGATTTCAAGCTGCCAGATCTGGGAATCGAACCACAGTCAACCATGTGGGAGTCCAGCGTCTTCACCATCACTCCACCTGCATGTCCTATGATAAGAGATTTGAATATTTTTTTCATAATTTAAACATTTTATTTATTTAACTTTATTATTATTATTATTATTTTAATTATTTTTTCTTTTTGGAGAGGTTTTTTCGCTATAGGGCACTCGCCAGACAGACAGAGACATAGAGACAGAAAGCGAGAAATCACCCCCCAGGGGGGATAGTCACGCTGCAGTCCCTTCTCCTCCATTCTCCCCTTGGGATCTTGGGCACGCATGCACACGTGCCTGGCGTGAGTTTTAAGCCACCGGGTCCAGGACACGAACTGCAGTCGACTACGTGGGAGTCCAGCGACATAGCCATTACGCCAACTGCTGGTCCCATTATTATTTTAATTTGACCAGAAAGAGAGAACAATAGAGGGGGGGAAAGTGAGAAAGCAAGCCACTGGGTCCAGGACTCAAATTGTAGTCAGCCATGTGGGAATCCAGAGTCCTTAACAACCACACCACCTGACGGCCCCTATAATTTTTTAAAAGAATCATTTACTTAATTGTATTCATTGTCTTGATTATTATTTTTAAATTTGACCAGAGACAGACAGACAGAGAGAGAGAAAAGTGAAAAAACGAACTGCCAGGTTTGGGACTTGAACCACAATTGGGCCATGGGGAAATCCAGTGCCATGACCATCATACCACCCGCTGGCTCCAATTTTTTTTTTTAATCTCTCTTTTTTTATTTTTTTGGAGAGGTTTTTGCTATAGGGCGCATGTGCTCGCCAGCCAGACAGAGAGAGACAGGGAGACAGAAAGCGAGAAATCACCCCCCAGGGGGGATGGTCACGCCGCAATTCCTTCTCCTCCATTCTCCTCTAGGGATCTTGGGCACGCACGCACATGCGCCTGGCGTGAGTTTAAGCCAGTGGGTCCAGGTCTCGAACTGCGGTCGACTACATGGAAGTCCAGCAACATAGCCATTACACCAACTGCTGGTCTCTATTTATTTAGTTTAGTTTAGTTTGACCAGAGAGGAATAGAGAGAGAAAGTAAGAAAGCAAGCCGCTAGGTCCGGGACTCAAACCATGGTCGGCCAGCACCCTTAACCACCACGCTACTTGCTGGGCCCCTAGTTGTTCTTTCTATACAGTCATGGGCAGAGTTTCTTTCCCTGCAAGGACATGAGTGAACACACCTGTTGACTTCCAATGAGGGAAGCTTCCTCGAGCCTCAGTGTCTAGAGATTTTTGCTTGTTTTCTTGTCATTGCCAGAGGGTGCATATGCACTCACTGGGGAAAGACAGTGAGACAGAGAGAGGGAGAAAACATCCCCCAATGGGACATGGCCGTGCCACTGCTCTGTTTCTCCATCTCATCAGGATTTGGGGCACCTACGTGTGCACATGTGCTAGGCTTTTCAAGCTTTTCAAGCCATTGAAGCCAGGATTCAAACTGTGGTCAGCCATGGTTGGGGTTCTATCTCCCTTAACCACTAGGCAATGATGCTGGTATGGCCAAATCTCTCTTTAGTCCAGATTAAATTATTTACTACACATCTTTTTTTTTTTTTTTTTTTTTCTGCTATAGGGCACGTGCAATCACCAGAAAGACAGAGAGAGACAGAGAGACAGAAAGCGAGAAATCACCCCCCAGGGGGGATGGCCACACCGCAATCCCTTCTCCTCCATTCTCCTCTCGGGATCTTGGGCACGCACGCACACGCCCCCGGCGTGAGTTTTAAGCCACCGGGTCTGGGACGCGAACCGTGGTCGACTACATGGGAGTCCAGCAACATAGCCATTACGATAACTGCTGGTTCCCTTTACTACACATCTCATTGAGGGCTTCCATATTGTTACCAATATTTCACTGCCCCACAAGGAGGTGAGTATCATCCTGTTTATGGATTCGTAGTCAGGAGTGGATGCAGGGTGCTCTCCTCCAACGTCAGAGCTCTTCCTTCAGCCGTCCCAGCGTCCTTTGGGCCCCAGAGGTGGGCTCTCCCTGGGGTGGGCTGTCACGTTGGTGCCAAGCAGGGCCATCCATGCTGTGTGTCTCTCATAGGTTGGGGAGGAAGCCTATTTTCCTATGAAGTCCACGTGCCCCTGCAACTTCACCTTGTACTACGAGGTGGTCGCAAGGGGCAACATTGTGCTCTCCAGCCAGCAGCCTGCCCATATCACCCAGCAGCGAAGCAAGCGGGAGACCCCTGCCTTAGAGACACCGATTCGCTTAACACACCTTTCTGAGACAGGTGAGCTGAGCAGGAGAGGGGGAAGGTTCCTGTCCCCTCTTCCCCACTGGAATCATTGAGACTGGCATGGATGCCCCACCAAGGAGGGGCAAGGCAAGACCCAGCAGGGAAGGGAGCTTGCCCCAGGGCAGAGGGGACACATCCCTAGCAAGACCAGGCTGGGGCCAAGAGGCCAAGCAGTGACCAGCTGCTGGGAGGGAAAGGTCCACCCAAGGCTGTTCTCATTGGGTGTCTACAGAAGACTGGGTAGGCCCGCTCCAGCCTGGTCTCCTCTGCTGCCCCACACTGTGTTTGGTTGTGTCTTTTCCCAGGCTGTTCCCCTGCCTGTAAGTCTCCTGCTTCCTCTGCTTGATTCCATGTGCTTCTCACAAGACACACTTTCTTCTCTGGGTCTTCTTCAGCCCTTCCTTTTGCGATCCTTCTGCCCAAAGTAAGATCCCCAACCTGGCTACCGTGGACACCCAGGACTGAGTTATTCTCTGTGGTGGGGTCTGTTGGGTATTGAGCAACATCCCTGGCCTCCCACCCACTAGGTCCCAATAGCACCCCTGCTCCAGTATGACAACCTAAAAGTCTCCGGACATTGCCAGTATCCCTACGGGCAAAGTTGTCCCCTCCCCTAGGTGAGAATGGCTAAGATAGATGATAGGTGGATAGATAGATAGATAGATAGATAGATAGATAGATAGATAGATAGATGATAGACTGATAGACAGATGATAGATAGATGATAGATAGATAGACAGATGATAGATGATAGATAGATGATAGATGATAGATAGATAGACAGATGATAGATAGATATAGATAGATTGATCAATGGATGGATGGACAGAATGAATGAATAATGGATGGATGGATACATAGAACAATGGAAGGATGGGTAGATGGATAATATGATGAGTAGATAGATAATATGGTGGATGGATGGGTGGAACAATGAATGGATAGATAAATAGATGAATGTATAGAGAGAATGGTAGTTAATATTATAGACAGAATAATGGATGGATGGGCAAATGGATGGGTAGATAGATAGTATGATGTAGGGATAGATACAATGATGGATGGATGGATGGATGGAACAGTGGATGGGTGGGGGCCAGCAAGTGATGTTGTGGTTAAGGCGTTGGACACTCCCACATGGCTAACCATGATTCGAGTCCTGGACCCGGTGGCTTGATTCCTCACTCCCCACCCCCCTGGTCAAATTGAAATAAATGAATGGGGGTTGGCAGGTAGCATGGTGGTTAAAGGTACTGGACTTCCACATGGCCAACTGTGATTCGAGTCCTGGGCCCAGAGGCTTGCTTTCTCACTTTGTCTCTTTCTCTCTGTCTCTCTCGCTCGCTTTGTCCCTTTATGGTTAAAATAAAACAAGAAAAAATAAAATAAAATAAAATAAAATAATTATTTAAAAAATAAAATAAATGAATAAATAAATACATACAAAATTATTAAAAATGGATGAATAGATATGTAGATAGGTAGAAGAAATAATAGACAATTGATAGAACAATGGATGGATGAGTAGGTAGAATGATGGATGGCTAGATAGATAAATGGATATATATATATATATAGGTAGAAGAAATGGTAGATGATAGAACAATGGATGGATGGATAGATGGATTGGTAGATACTATGTATAGATAGATAAAATGGATGGATGGATAGAACAATAGATGGATGGATAAATGGATGTATATATATTATATATGTTTCTGTCTCTATATATAGGTAGAAGAAATGGTAGATGATATATAGAACAATGGATGGAAGGATGGATGGGTAGATAGAATGATGTATCAATAGATAAGTTGATGGATGAATGTGTATAGATAGATAGGATGATGGATGAATGGATGGATGGAAGGATGGGTAGAGAGAATGATGTATCGATAGATAAGATGTTGGATGGTTGGATGGATGGATGGATGGATGGATAGAATGATGTGTAGATAGATTAGATGATGGATGGATAGATGGATGGATGGATGGATAGAATGATGTGTAGATATATTAGATGATGGATGGATAGATGGATGAATGGATGGATGGATGGATGGATGGAATGATGTATAGATAGATAAGATGATGGATGGATGGATGGATGGATGGATGGATGGATGGATGGATGGATAGAATGATGTGTAGGTAGATAAAATGATGGGCGGCTGGAGGAATGGACAGAACAACGGATGGATAGATGGATAGGTAGAAGAAATGGTAGATGATATTGTAGATAGAACAGTGGATGGACGGATGGATAGATGATGGGTAGATAGATGGTATGGCACATGACTAGATAAATTGATGGATGGATAGAACAATGGGTGGATAGATGGGTAGATAAATGAATGATGAATGTAGACAGTCTCTCATGCTTAGGCAAGGTTCCTTGACCTTGGCACTCTTGTCATTTGGGCAAGGTCATTCTCCATAGTAGGGGCCATCTCGTGCTCTGCCGAGCATTGAACAACATCCCTGGCTCCGCCCATCAGAGGCTGGTAGCATGCCCTCCAGTGGTGATGACCAAACCAGCTGTAGGCATCACTGAGAATTCACTGCCTCTCTCCACCTCTGCCTCATCTCAGAGCCCCCGACTGCCCCAGTAGCCGAGATCAACGTGTGTATGACCTCTCTCCGGCTAGCCGTGACCCCCAGCATGGTCCCCCTTGGCCACCTGCTGGTCTTCTATGTCAGGGACAACGGAGAAGGAGTCGCCGACAGCCTCCAGTTTGCAGTTGAGACTTTCTTTGAAAACCAGGTAGAGCGTCAGTCATCAAACTGGGGCCACGGGGCCACGCCATCAGGGATTCTCCAAGGTGCTGGTGGGATGCTGGGTGGGCTGTGCACAGTCGTGACTCAGACTCCACGCGGTGTCTCAGGCACCATGCTTACGGGCTGCTCTTCCTCCAGGTGGTTAAAGGCGCTGGACTCACGTGGCCAACAGCAGTTGGTGGCTTGCTTTCTCACTCTCTCTCTCTCTCTCTTTCTCACTCTGTCCCTCTCTGGTCAAATTTAAATTAATAAATAGTAAAGTTAACTAAGGGGCCAGCAAGTGGCATGGTGATTAAAGTGCTGGACACTCCCACATGGTTGACCACGGTTCAAGTCCTAGACCTGGTGGCTTGCTTTCTCACTCTCTCTCTGTCTCTCTCTGGTCAAATAAAAATAAATAAATGAATAAATAAACTTAAATAATTATTCAAAAAATAAAGTTAAATGAAATCATTCTTTTAAAAAGAGAATTATTTATTTTTTTATTTTTACTTTTTTAAAAATTTATTTATTTATTCAATCATGTTCATTTGACCAGAGAAAGACATACAGAGAGAAGGAAAGTAAGAAAGCAAGCCACCAGGTTTGAGACTTGAACTGTGGTCGGCCATGTGGGAGTGTCCAGCGCCTTCACCACCACGCCACCTGCTGACCCCCAAAAAGAGAATTATTTATTTACTTAATTCTATTTATTATTACTGTTTTTTAAATACTTATTTATTTATTTAATTCCATTGTTATTGTTAGTTTTTTTTTTTTTTTATTTGACGACCAGAGAGAGAGAAAAAGGGAAAGCGAGAAAACAAGCCACCAGGTCCGGGACTTGAACCATGGTCAGCCATGTGGCAATCCAGTGCCCTTATCCACCACACTGCCTGCTGGCCCCTGTTATTACTGTGTTTGCATTTGAGCAGAGAGAGAAGGGGAAAGTGATAAAGCAAATTTCCTGGTCTGGGACTCGCACCATGGTTGGCCATATGGGAATCCAGCACCCCACAACCACTACGCCACCTGCTGGCCCCATAGATTTTTTTTTTTAAAGAGTTATTTTGCCTTAGGGCTCATGCCCTTGTCAGAGAGAGAGACAGAGACAGTGAGAACGTCTCCTCTTGGGATCTTGCTCATGTATGCACACATGCCTGGTGTGGATTTGAAGCCACCGAGTCCGGGACTCGAACCACAGTGGACCATGTGGGAGTCCAGCGCCTCAACCACTACGCCACCTGCTGGCCCTTCCCTATAGATCTTTAGAAACAAGTTGCAATATGTCCTTGGCCACCTCCTCCACTGCCACCTCCCCCCTTTCCTCCATCTTCCCTTTCTCTGTCCTTTGCACCCTGACCCACTGACCGGCTCTGTATGGACCAGTTCCACCTGGGTGGCAAGGCATGGTCCCAGCTGAGCTGCCGGAGACCGATCCTCCTGAGCGGGACAGGAGTGCGGCTATGGATTGGATCAAGCTCCTAACTCCCTTTCTGTGTTGGTCCAGGTTTCGGTGACGTATTCAGCGAATGAGACCCAGCCTGGGGAGGCTGTGGACCTGCGGGTCAGAGCCGCGAGGGGCAGCTGCGTGTGTGTGGCCGCGGTGGATAAGACCGTCTACCTACTCAGGTCTGGGTTTCGGCTGACCCCCGCCCAGGTGAGCGGGGCCTTCCTGTGCTAGATTCCAGCACCTGTGTGGGGCGTTCCCTTCCCTCACGCTCCGTTTCCCATAGGGGAGGAGCTGAATTGAATGAACATTGACTGGCAACCGCAGTTAGCATCATGGCTATGTCACTGGACTCCTATGTAGCTGACCGCGGTTCGAGTCCCGGACCCGGTGGCTTAAGCTCACACCAGGCGCGTGTGCGTGCATGCCCAAGATCCCGAGAGGAGAATGGAGGAGAAGGGATTGTAGTGTGGCCATCCCCCCTGGGGGGTGATTCTCGCTTTCTGTCTCTATCTCTCTCTGTCTGTCTGGCGAACGCATGCGCCCTTTAGCAAAAATGTCTCAAAGAAAAGAAAAAAAAAAAAAGGACATGAACAAAACCTACGGGGCCAGCAGGATGCTGGACTTACACACAGCTGACTGCAGTTCAAGTCCCGGACCTGGGAACTTGCTTTCTCACTTTCTTTCTCTCGCTCTCTGGTGAGTGCATGTGCCCTGTAGCAAATTAAAAAATAATCATAATTATATATATATTTAAAAGTACATTAATTTGGGGGCCAGCAAGCAGCGTAGTGGTTCAGGTGCTGGACTCCCACATGGCCAACTGCAGTTCGGGTTCTGGACCTGGCGTCTTAAAACTCACACCAGGTGTGCAGGGACCAGCAATTAGCGTAATGGCTGTGTCTCTGGACTCCCATGTAGTCAACCACGGTTCGCATCCCGGACCCGGTGGCTTAAACTCACGCCGGGCGCGTGTACGTGCGTGCCCAAGATCCCGAGAGGAGAATGGAGGAGAAGGGATTGCGGCATGGCCATCCCCCCTGGGGTGATTTCTCACTTTCTGTCTCTCTGTCTGTCTCTGTCTGGCGAGCGCATGCGCCCTATAGCAAAAACCTCTCCAAAAAGAAAAAACAAACAAAAAAAAACAGGCCGGGTGCGTATGTGTGTGTTCAAAATCCCAAGAGGAGACTGGAGGAGAAGGGATTCCTGTGTGGCCATTCCCCATTAGGGGTGCTATTACACTTTCTCTCTCTCCATCCTTCCAGCATGTGCACATGCCCTCTAGCAAAATCTCTAATAATAATAATAATAATAATAATAATATAAATAAAATTAAATAGATAAGGGACCAGCAGTTAGAGTGGTGGTTAAGGGCACTGGACTCCCACATGGCCGACCACAGTTCGAGTCCCAGACCTGGCGACTTGTTTTCCCACTTTCTTTCTCTTTCTCTCTCTCTCACTCTGTTCCTCTTAGGACAAGTTAAAATAAATAAATAAATTATTTATTTATTTATTTATTTTAGAGGTTTTTTGCTATAGGGCGTGTCTACTCACCAGAAAGAGAGAGACAGAGAGACAGAAAGCGAGAAATCACCCCCTGGGGGGATGGCCACGCCGCAATCCCTTCTCCTCCATTCTCCTCTCGCGATCTTGGGGACACACGCACACACGCCCGGCGTGATTTTAAGCCACCAGGTCTGGGACTCGAACCGCGGTTGACTACATGGGAATCCAGTGACATAGCCATTACGCCAACTGCTGGTCCCAATAAATACATTATTTAAGTACCATAATTTCTGTTTTCCATTCACCCGTTGAAGTTCCCTCATATACAAGGGTACGAGACAGGGACATGGCAGACCCGTGAGAAGCCAGTTTGACTTGAACATGGCCTGTCAGCTGACTGGCCCCTGTCCCCCTTTGCCTGCAGGTGTCCCGGGAGCTGGAAGGTTACGATGTCTCCGATGCCTTTGGCGTGTCCAGAGAGGATGGGCCCTTCTGGTGGGCCGGGCTGACGGCCCGCCGCCGCCGCCGTTCCTCCCTCTTCCTGTGGCCCTGGAGTGTCACCAAGGACTCCGGGTTTGCCTTTACCGTAAGGAGAGGTGGTCTCACATCCCTCTGCCCCTCTCACCTGGAATCAAAGGGCCTTAGGGATCCAGAGAGGAGTTGCAGCAGGTCTTTCTTTTTCTTTTTCTTTTTAAAATTATTTAATTTTCTTCATTCATTTATTATTATTATTTTTTTTTCAGAGAGGTTTTGCTATGGGGCACGTGCGCTCGCCAGACAGAGAGAGACAGAGAGACAGAAGGCAAGAAATCCCCCCCCAGGGGGGATGGCCATGCCACAATCCCTTCTCCTCCATTCTCCTCTCGGGATCTTGGGCATGCACGCACACGCGCCCAGCGTGAGTTTAAGCCACCGGGTCTGGGACTCGAACCGCAGTCGACTACATGGGAGTCCAGCGACACAGTCGTGACACCAACTGCTGGTCCCTCATTCATTTATTTTAATTTGACCAGAGAGAGACACTGAGAGAGAGAGGGAAAGGGAGAAAGCAAGCCACCAGGTACAGGACTCGAACCATGGTTGGCCGTGTGGGAGTGTCCAGCGCCTTAAACACCATACCACCTGCTGGTCCCCACAGCAGGAGTTTTTTGAAACTTCTTACTGCAGGATGCTTTTTTTTTTTTAATAATTATTTATGTATTTAATTCCATTTGTTATTATTTTAATTAGACCTAAGATAGAAAGGGAAAGTGAGAAAGCAAGCCACCGAAGACCGGAATTGGTCGGCTCTGTGGGAATCCAGCACCTTTAACCACCAGCCACTGGCAGGCCCCTGCAGGACACTTTTCTGCCTTTCTTTTTTGTTTAAAGAATTATTTATTTGGAGTCAGCAGGTGGCATGATATTTAAGGGCGTTGTATTCCCACATGGCTGACGGTGGGTCGAGTCCCCGGTCTTGCGGGGTCTGTATG